TAAGAATGAATCCATTAATACTAATATTTTATAAATAATTTTTTTAAATTCTAAAGAAAAACAAAGAAAGTACTTTGTCTCTGGTTTGCAGAAAACTTGATGTGCAAAGTTTCTTTTTCAAAAGCAGACATTTTCATGGATATTTATAGAGGAAAAAACTGTGAAGAGGTATGTTTTCCCTATATATCACAAAACACCTCCCTACAGGGCTGTTTCTGGGATGTATCAGTTAGTTACTGATAGACAAAAATCTGGCCCCACTTTTGACTATGCAGTGCCCACTTTACTGACTTAAAGTGGATATCTGGAATTTATTTGATGGTTATTCTTACATTTACAGACACAATCCCACTCTTCCAAGTCTAGCATCCAATTAGAATGCATGGGGGAAGTTCACACCTTGGTATCTGCCTACAGAACTATCTATTTATGTAGCAAACGCTGTCAAAATGACAAGAAGAGATCATTTTTTTCCCTCTGTTCAGGAAGTATACTAACAATATTAACAACAGAAATGTGAGCAAATTGAATCTACAATATACTTTTTTTACTTATTCCAAGGAATGTGAAGATAAGGACCCTTTTAAATTGCTTCAAATACTACAATGTGTATATTCCCTGGTTTATAACTTTTACTTCATAACTCTTTGTAGCTTTCTGTTTTCTTTGTACTCCACATAAAATAGTGCTCCCAATGAAGAAACCCCAAATATCACACATATGCACACTCATGTGCATGTGTGCACTTGCACGCATGCGTGCACACACACACATATATACATAGTGACTGTACCAATTGACCAAAATAAAGCTACCCGACACTGATTATGTTTCACTTCTTGGATATTCTGGCCGGCATCCTAATTGGAAAACCAGTCACCCTAATGCCTAATGTTTTGTATGCAAATCCAAAAGACTAATAAAACCCCCTAGTCATAGAATGTACTCTCACAAACTGAGGTGACCATGATTTCACTAGACAGTATGATCTAATGAGACCACTGTGGTATATGTGGCTCCTTGTTGACCAAAATGTTGATTCAGAAGCAGATAAATGAAAGACAGAATTATGAGCCTTCACATTCCCAACACACATCATGGAACAGGAACTGAATCTCTGATAATTTTTTCCATTCAAGAAGCAGAATACTACAGGGCACATGTCATTGAGAGCTCCTAAACTACTCTGAACTACTGCTGAACGGATTACGTACACTTGAGCAATTCTGATGAGTGATTTTCCTTCATTAGACTCTGAGTAGCAGCCAGGAATAGCTTCCTGGTCCTTTGTTGTACATAGCATTTATCTTTTCTCTCTGCAAGGTCCTTCATTTGTCCCATTTTCAACATAAAGTGCAGGGAATAAGTACTTTGTTTGGGAAAAAGAGGTCATTTTGGATCTAAAATACATATCTGTTTTGAGATGTTTAGTCTAGGCTGGCAAAGCTTTTGCTAACATAGTTCTCTCAGACACATGTGTTTCAAACACAGCTCTATATGTATTTGTTTCTAGTCAATTTTATGTGCCAAAATCCACATTCACAGTTGTTTTCAAGACATTTCTCTTTCTAGAGACCTAATTATGGATACTTGGTTCTCACAGGACTTTGGTGAGACCATAGAGTCTCTGAAAGTTCTTTTTTTTTTTTCCTGCTGAGAGAAGAATAAATACCTTCCTAAAAATTTCCCAAGTCTTAGCAAAGACTCTTTCAGCTGCATCCTTGATGTTTGTTTGTTTGCTTGTTTATTTTTAACTGAGGCTATACCATTATGGCTATACTTTTGATTTGTTGAGAAATAGTTTTATTTATATCATTACACTTTATGAATTATTTGTATTCCCACTAAATTCCATTTGCAAACAATTTACTTCTCCCTCATACTTATTTCTTGTTAAGTATTGTTACAAATGCAGTTAGTTGCAGTCAGCTCACATTTTCAGTGTTTCCACAGTAGCATATAGCCCAAAGTTATCAGATCCTTTCCTCTATGTTCTGTCTTCAGAGATAAGAAGAAGCCCAATGTTACCAAATATTTGGCCACTCCATAAAATAGAACATCACTTTCTGTGTCCCTTTAAAAATCTATCTGATTCATTACTTGTTCTCAAAACCAATGCCCCACATTCCATGTTTTAGTAATTTTAATAATTTACTTTTAGGAGGTTATTTATCAAACCACCTGTTACATTAGTTATGTATTAGATTATGTAGTAGATTACATAATATATTACAACAAATACATTGAGTTAAAATAGCACACATTTATTATGCTACCATTCTGTGAGTCAGAAGTCTGGGCAAGGCTTACCTGGATTCTATGCTATAAGGTGAAATGTGAAATTGCAATCAGAGTGTTGGCCAGGGCTGGAAATTCAAGCAGGAAAAAGGCCTCTTGGTCTCTTACATGGATGTTGGGTGCAATCATTTATTGCAGGCACCGCATTCATATCACCTTGCTTTTTCAAAGCAAAAAAAAAAAAATGGGGAAAATGATTTCACCCAAAGAGGCACTACTGTCTTATGTAATTACATAAATTTTAGCATCTACATCCTAATGCCTTTGCCAAATTGAGTTAGTTAGAAGCATGTCACAGGCTCTGCACACACATGAGAAGAGAAGATCAGACAAAGATGTGAATACCAGAATGTAAGACCATGGTGGGCACATCTGTTGTCCATATAGCACCACAAATACTCACTTCTAATGGTTGCAATTATATTCCCAGACACTTCAAATCTGTATATATGACACTGGATCCAACCTATATATATATAAAACACAGTAAAAATGATATCTGTAAATGAGGGGAAATTGTATATAATCTGGAAAGTGAAATTAAAGCTATTATTCAAAAAAAATGTGAAACCCAGATACAGATTTTGAGACCTCTTCAGAAGCTCTGAGAGTTTATGGTCATGACAGCCCTTTAGACTTCTGTGGGAATATTATTTTATCCCTCTGGGCTTCAGTTTTTTATATAGAAAATATGGAAAATATAAACACCTACCTCAATGGGTGGTTATGAGTACTAAATTCATTAAATTATGTGCTCTCTGTAAACCATTTAAAATATTTCCAGTAGTACAGGAAGCACTGTATAAGTATTTGTTAAAATTAAATTTAATATAACTTAGAAAATAATAAACATTTACTTGTATATTAGTAAACTAGGTTAACAGTGCAAAATTCCAAGCCCTGTGAATGGAAAATGAGTGAGAACGGTACCCTTGGGGAGCTCAGGAACTGGTGCAGAAGGAGATATTAACAAAGAATCATAATAAGGTATGATAAGTGGCCAGTGCAGTGGGCTCTGGAGGAGCCTTGGAAATAGCTAATTTTGCCTGAAGAGAACAGGGAAGGACTTTCTGAGGAGATGACATTTGAGATGTTTAGAAGGACATTGCCTGGGGGAGAAAGTGGTATTCCAGTACAGAATTTATATATTCACACACAGGAAAAAACAGTCCACCAAAAGTCATTTTTACTGAGAGAATATGTAAACTTTCAAAGAAGGTATCTGAGCCATAAATGAGGGAAACATCATGTTGAAAGTTAGAAATATACTCGACTGCAATTACCAGAAAATTTCAATTGGCTAGCTTAATCTTTCTCACACCAAAATAAGTATGGAGATAGACAGTTGAGCTCTGGTGTTATGGTTCAGTGACATCAGGAAAGGCATCTGCAAGTGGTCAGACAGACCCTGCACAGTGCAAGGGGCTGCCAGTTACATTGGCAGCAAAGTAACAACAGTCTTACCCTCCATTCCTTGATGCCAGACCTTATTTTTGCATCACCATCATTATTAGCATGCAGGAAAGGATCCTCAGACTATGAGGTGGTTGCTGCATTGCCAGGAAAGAGAGCAAATGGAATAGAAAGGCAAATGCAGTAAAGTGATAGCTCCTAATATCAAAAGGATCTTGTCATTCAAAAGAGATGCCCTTCACTGGGTTTATCCAAACACCTCAGCTATAGCAGAAATTGGGGGGACGTAGGGTGGGGAGACTTAGCATTAGCTTTCCACAAGATAAAAGAGAAGGAGGGAGGAAGTGAGAGGGAGAGGGAGAGATAATGGGTTTGATTGCTGACATCTCTTGCTATACAACACTCTTTACTCATTTGGAAGAAATTGCCTAACATTTTGACTTTGCGATTTCCATTGAACATACTGTTATGAGACAGTGACCTACACCTACTTATTATATTTCCTTCTACTCACTCTGCAGTCTGGGCACCAGTCAAGTTAGACTTTCTTCTGTCTCTCGAACATTTCTGTACTTTTTTACCTCAGCATCTGTGTCTTGCTTTTCCTTCTGCCTGCAAACCTATTTTCTCTTCTTTCTCCCTTCCCTAAGGTAAGTCTTCCCCATTTAGCAGTCTCAATTTAAACATCATATCTTCAGAAGATTCTTACAATGTCCAGGTGAGTATCATTATTCATGTTGCATCTATCTAGATTTTAAGATGTATCTGTGAAGGAATTCTGCACTTTGCTTGCCTGTCAGTATTAGTAATGAAAATTTGACTTTTAGGATTTATTGCATCATTTTCAAATTCAGTATCTTTGTCTAAATGCAATCTTGTATAACCCATTCCAGTCTCTCTAACAATTTATGAATTTATTTTTTGTTCATTAGTCATGCATTACTTTTCTTTGATGTGATATTTATTTTCTGAATGTTTTTACAAATAATATTTCAATGAGGTAAAATCCACATATTAGCCTTAGAATTGCCATATGTCAGTATCTAAATATGAACTTGTCATTTCGGGAGGAAGAAATTAAGCCACTGTAACCTTCAAGAACAAATATCAATAAGTTATTAGCGTTATTATCTAAAATTTTTGTGGCATCTTATTAATTGTATATCTAATACATAATACAAAATAAAGATAAAATTTAAAGCTATTCTTATTATAAAGCTAAGAAAATGAATGGCATATGCTGTCAGTTAAGATCTTTTCTAAGTGCAAATTTTGTCTTTTACTAATTTGCTAGGTTTCATTTTATCATGACTTCCTCTGTCTTTAAAAAATCAAGATGGTTAGAATATTTCATGGAATTTTTTTTCAATGGAGAATTCTGCTCTGTGACTCTGTTCTACTTTTCAGAGATACAAAATACCCTTTATATCTTCATTGCCACAGATGTTAGCTTTGTTGTAATGCAATTAAACATGAAACAATTAAATGATGCATAAAGAACATTAATGTCAGATTAGACTCTCAAACTCATTAGCAGACAGCACAATGATTTGCCCAAGAGAGAATATTTTTGAAGAAGTAAAATAGTCAATGTACTTTCCACATTTTTCCTATCTCATTTTAGAAGCAAACAGGATAATACTTTATTTGCTTCAGTAAACATGTTTCCAGAAATCAAAGCAAAGGAATCTCATCAACACCAAGTTTTGGTCAAACTCATTAACTAATTTTAGAAGAATCTCCAAGCTTATGGTACATCATGCTGTGAAAACTAGTCAAGTGGTAAAGGAAAGCATACAATTAGGCTTGTTTCTCATTGGCCTGTACACTAGGGAATGGAGAGACATAATCACTGGTCTTAAACACCTAGGGATGTACTTGCACAGGTAAACAGCATCTTTGCATTCTATTCAAGATTATATCAAGCTAGGGACAAAAGTCAAAAGAAAAAAGTAAATAAGATTAAGAACAAGGCACTTAGGAATTTAGAATACACAACTTCTTTTAGTAGACAGTTTCTCCTTTGGGATACCCATCTAGTTTCCATTAAAATGTGGACAAAAGAATCAAACTTGAATTTCATCTTAAACTCTGCTACAATAAAATTCTGATTTCCCAAGTACTTACTGAGCCTCATTACTTCTTCTATTGATTAGGATATCTTCCCAAAGACTAACATGAAGTGTGATTGAAAAGTACCATGTGTGTTTAAATTTTAAAAAAATTATTACAATAAAAAAATTACAAAAAGGAACATTGCTATTATTAATCCCTGTGATACATTGCCCCTTGTTTCAAACATGCCTGTCTCGTTGTTCTCACCACTTTCTGAAGCAGTTCTGGAAGTCTTCTTTCATGAATGCTATTAGTTGCACTGTTACGGCTTCCTTGAAGTCTGGAATTGATTCAAAACATTAACGTTTTATAGTCATTTTTATTTTGAGGAAGGAACAGAAGTCACATGGTGCCAGATCTAGTGAATAAGGTGGATAAGGACACATTGTACCATTTTTTAGTAGCCTGCCTTTCCTTGGATGGCTCTCAGTAGCAGCCTTCACCGTATTTTGGATCACACTTCGTAAATATGTTCACACAAAAGGATTTCCATAACTGGTTCAGGAAGTGGCAAAAATGATGAAATAACTGTATTTGAAGTGAGGGAGAGTTTTTTGAGGGATATTGTTTTTTTTATTCTAATAAAGTTATTTAAACATTCACCTTAATTTCCAATCATCCCTTATACACTTTATGATTCTTCACATAATGTAAAAGCTCTTTAACAAACTTTAAAACATGTGTCTTAGTTTTTGATTACTGGTTAGATAGATCATTTTCAATACAATTTTAAATTTACGTGATTCCAGGCAAACTCCCAAATTGTATAAAAATTAGATGAATTTTAAAAATAATGTTTGCCCAATATACAGCATCTGAAATTATGAACTGGGGAGTCCCACTCTCAGCAGTATCTTCTTTGCCTTGTATATAACTATTATATTTGTGTCTCCATTCTGATGATGAGAAAACAATTAAAATTAAGTCAAAAGTGTTGCCTTTTACTTTCTATCTCAGAATTGTATGTAAGTGATTTTTTCCCCATTAAGTCTATTGGTACAATTTAGGTATAAAATACATTTACATCCATTGTTGGGATCTTGTACCATTACCTGAGTATCTTGGTTCTTATTTTTTTCCCCTTCCCCTGCCCTCCCTTCACCCCTCCACCCTTCCCTATTTGCAAAGATTTTATTTCCATCTTTTTCCTTTTCTCTTATTTTTTCTTTTCCCTTCTTTCCTTTCTTCTACCCCTCCCACTTCCCCTGCTCCTTTAGACCTTTACTTCCTATCACATAATATCAATTATACATTTTAAAAATTAAAATATCAAGACCTAGGAGA